CCCACACCACCCAGGCCATCCTGCACCCCAGGGAACATCCCCTCACCGCATACCACCAGGGTTATCTATCCTGAACCCCAGGGAACATGCCCTCACCCCACACCACCAGGGTTATCCATCCTGAACCCCAGGAAACATTCCCTCACCCCACACCACCCAGGCCATCCTGTACCCCTGGGAACATCACCCACCTCACACCACCTGGGCCATTCTGTACCCTAAAGAACCTCCTCCTCACCCCACCCCATGCCAGCTCTCCGGCCACCACCAGGTTGTGCCTCCCACACCCACAGGGTGCTCGCCCTCCCAAGCCTCCCCTCCCCAATGCCACAGGGGATCTCCCGTCCTCTCAGGCTATTCTCTTTCTCCCTCTCCGTGGGCCATCATGCACCCCACACTGTATGGGATGCCCCACCCTAGCCTTGGCTCCATCAATCCAAGAGCCATCCCGCAGCGCCCAGCCCAGTTCTCCAGGTGATCCAGACCCATGGTTCCTGCTCTGAGCCCCTTCCCTTAGCAAGGCAGATGCCCACCTACCCTCCCAAGACTTCGTGCTGGCACACCTCGTAACCTGCCGAGATAGAGGTCTCCTTGACGCTCACCACCCGGTGTTCAAAAGGAGCTGGCGGAGCCGGACTGTCATCTGCTCGGGAGGCAATAGGGGCCCGTGAGCCTCCTCTGCACAGCCCACACCTCTCAGCCACCTGTGCCTGACCCATTTAGCTTCCCTTAGTCCACCAAACCCTTCGTACAGCCCTGGTATTTGAAACCTTTCCCCCAAAACCATCTCAGTGGAGCCACCCGTTTGGCAGAGAAGGAAGCTGAGTGTCAGAGAGGTGAGGTGACCACCGAGGTCACACAGGGAGCACATGACAGATGGCACTCAAACCTGGGTATCCCAGCACCCAGGACAGTGACCTTGGCAAGGCCGAGAAGTTCTATCCAATCTGTTCATGACATCTAGAAGGCGATCCTAGTGGATCTGCGTGGCTCGCAGGAAACAGAGGGCCCACGTGGACAGGATGATGGGGCAGTTAGTGACGCCATTTTTAAAGGGACTGTTAAGTCAGGGCTGTGGAAACTCACGAGGGTGTAATGAGAGGGAGGCAACTGGAGAAATAAACACCCACCCTCTCTCCTCTCACCCTCCATCTCCTGCCAGCTGAGCCCAACCAGAAGCTCAGAGTGACAGCCAGTGATGAAGGGGGGGCAGGTCCGGGGTCACAGGATTGGGGAGGGAGTGGGCAGGGGATCTGTCTGGAAGGGAAACAGAGGACAGCCAGCACTTGGAAAGGTTTTGTTTGTTTGTTTGTTTTTTGTTTTTAGGGTTGTTTTATTTTAATCTTGTCCTTCAGAGGTGATAGGAATACCTAGACTTGTTATAGGAAATAGACTAGATGGATAAAGCAGAATCTAGAACACACAGAAAGTGCAGTGGCATGAACCAGTGGTGCACTAAGGGCTGGAAGGCGCCATGGCGGGAAGTCAGCTCTGGCTGGTGTCTGTTCAGGGCTTGACATGGGAGCACTCTGCCTGCTTTCCAACTACCAGGAGCACTGGGAGTGGTCTGTGGACAATTCTCAGACCAAAGAGGTTGTGACCCTAGGACTGGAGGGATTGAGGGCCTTTAGGTCACAAGAACACACCCTGGGTCACTAGCCCGAGTGGGTGGGAACAGCTAACAGTGGTCACAGACACCAATTCATGTCTTTGCTTTTTAACAGAAGCCTTCTCTGTCTCAATCCAAAATGAGACTCATGATGGCAAGCTCAGGTGGGCAGGTGGCGGTAAGAAATCTCCCCAGTGGCTGGGCACAGCAGCTCGTGTCTGCAATCCCAAAGCTCTGGAAGGCTGAGGCTGGAGGATCACTTGAACCAAGGTCAAGGCTGCAGGCCACTGCACTCCAGCCTGGGCAACAGAGTAAGACCCTGTCTCCAAAAAAAGAAATGTACCCAGGTGGGCCACACATATTCCCTCTCCCTTAGCCCTGCAGCCAGTCCGAGTTCAGGCCCCGAATCTCTGTGCCTTGGTCTTTAGCCCCAGGATGTAGCAGAGATGTTCCCGACTCTTGGATGCCCCCAGACCCATATGATCTATCCTTGGAAGCCACAAGAAGACTCCCCAGGAGTAGGGGCTCCAAACTTCCCTTAGGGTTCATGTCTAGCCAAGCAACAGCCCCACTTACCCAGAACCACGCTTCCAGCCTCAGCGTCCAGGGGCGTCCTCCTTATTGCTTCAGCTCTCCCTGGGGCCCTGGCTGCACAGTCCTCCCCAGGCTCAGGGTTTCCCGCTCCTGGGCCTTTGTCCTGCTGCATGTCCAGGGCCTCAGTCACGTGGTCACTGTCGTCCCTCCTGGCCAAGCCTGGTCCTGTGCCAGGCTCAGCCCCAGCCCTTTGCTCTTCCTCTGCCTTCGCTCCCCCGGGGCTGCTGCTCTCCTGCAGCAGGGAGAGCTCTCTGGCTCCTTCAGGGGTCTGTTCTCTGAACTCAGTCCCAGGGGCTTGGAGGCAGCGCCTGGCCCCAGGTGGGCCCTGCCTGACTGGCTGGGCAGCTGCTGGAGCCTCTGTGGCAGGGGCGGGTCCGAGGCTTCCCCTGCGTGTCACCAGCATCTCCCCAGGAGTACCCATCTCTCGCATGTGGATGGAGATCCTGGGGTGGAGAGAAACAAGGTGCCAAGGTTAGAAGCAAGGACTCCAGAGTCAGAACAGACCTGGGTTCCAATGCCCACTGCTGCCATCACTGACAATGGCCCTGGCGCCCTGCCAGACAGGACACCAGAGCAGAAGCTGGCTTCAGTGGCAGTTAGTGCCATCAGCTCTCAGGAACCCACTGGATGACAGTCCAGGGAAGCTTGAGGGTGGACAGGGGTGAAGACCAAACACCCCTGAGAACCTGCTTCTGCCCTAGGAGGACTGAGGCCTGTAGATGGGAGACCCGGGTAGCTCTACCTTCCCGTGGGCCCAGTTTCCCTTTCACTTAAATGAAGAGGAGAAACCAAGTCAAATATCATACTGGAAGCCCCGGTCAGAAGTATTTGTTTAAAATCAGTCAATTCCAGCTGGGCACAGTGGCTCACACCTGTAATCCCAGTGCTTTGGGAGGCCAAGGTGGGAGGATCCCTTGAGGCCAGGAGTTTGAGACCAACCTGGGCAACATGGCGAGATACCATCTCTACAAAAAAATAATTTTAAAAAACTTAGCCAGGAGTGGTGGCACCTGAGGTTCCAGATACTTGGGAGACTGAGGCAGGAGGATTGCTTAAACCTAGGAGTTGGAGGCTACAGTGAGCTATGATCATACCACTGCACTCCAGCCTGGGTGACAGAGTGAGAGACTCTGTCTCAAAAAATAAAATAAAATCAGGCAATTCTCATACAAGACTGGACTTTCTGTTTCTCTTGAACAAATGTAAGGGCTGGCTGTGCTGGATCCACGTGTCCATGTGACTGAAGAACAGCTCTGCACCTCAGCACAGGCCCTGCACACCCTGGCAATTCCCCAGCTCACTTCACAGACCCCGCAGAACTGGGGTTTGTGAGCCCAGATGGAGGTGGGAAAGGCTCTCTGAGCTCCAACCTCCCAAAGGAAGGATCCTGATCCTGGCAGCCAGATCACCCAGGAATCCGGACCCTCCCTCTCTGAGTCTCCCCAACTCTGGCTGCCTCTCAGTGGGGCTTCTTTTTGCTAGGCCATAATCCATAGCATGGGGTCTATGTGTGTTGTGGGGTAGGGTAACGGTGTCTGGCGGGGACTGAGTCTCAGCAGGGAGGCAGGTGGCCTTGATTCTGGGCTTAGCTCTGCCATCGGGTTGCTGGACAGCTTTGGGTAAGTCCAGCCTCAGTTCCCTTTTTTGTCATCAGGGACGGTGATACCTCACAGATGCACCAAGAGTCAACCAAGAGAGGAAGGCACAAATGCAGGGGTTCGAAAGGCCTAAAATGGCACAACTGCTGTGGAAAACTGGAGGCTCTTCAGAAATTAAAAGTAGGATTACCATATATTTCAGCAACTCCACTTCTGGGTATATATTCCAGAGAATCCAAAGCAAGGTCTCCAAGAGATATGGCCACACTCATGACTGTAGCAGCATTACTCACAACAGCCAACAGGTGGAAGCAGCCCAAATGCCCAGTGACAGATGATGCATAGACAGAAGATGGTGTACACACACCTCAAAATACTATTCATCCTTAAAAAGGAGGATGTTCCAACACACACTACAGCGTTGATGGACCCTGGGGACACTGTACACAGTGAAATGAGCCAGGCACAAAAAGACAAATCCTGCGGTGGGCCCAGTGGCTCACATCTGTAATCCCAGCACTTTGGGAGGCCAAGGAGGGTGGATCGCCTGAGGTCAGGAGTTTGAGACCAGACTGGCCAACACGGAGAAATCCCATCTTTACTAAAAATACAAAAACTAGTCAGGTATGGTGGCATGCACCTGTAGTCCCAGCTACTTGGGAGGCTGAGGCAGGAGAATCTCTTGAACCTGGGAAGTGGAGTTTGCAGTGAGCTGAGATCATGCCACTGCACTCCAGACTGGGTAACAGAGCGAGACTCTGTCTCGCAAAAAAAAAAAAAAAAAAAGACAAATCCTGTATGATTCCACTGATACGAGGACCCTTGAATACTCAGATTCACAGAGAAAGAAAGTACAATCGTGGCCGTTAAGGGCTGAGGGGTGGGAGGTGTTATTTAGTGGATGATGAATCTCAGTTTTGTGAGATGAAAACGTCCTGGAGATCTGTCTCACAACAACATGAATAAACTTAACACTACTGAGCTGTATACTTTAAAAAGGCTAAGATGGCGCTGGGCATTGTGGGTCAGACTATAATCCCAGCACTTTGGGGGGCTGAGGCAGGAGGATCGCTTGAGGCCAGGAGTTTTAGACCAGCCTGAGCAACACAGTGGGACCCATCTCTACAGAAAAAATAAAAAATTAACCAGGCATGGTGGCACATGCTTGTAATCCCAGCTATACTGCAGGCTGAAGTGGGAGGATCACTTGAGCCCTGGAGGTGGAGGCAGCAGTGAGCCGAGATGGCACCACTGCACACCAGCCTGGGTGACAGAGTGAGACCCTGTCTCAAAAATAAAAAAAAAAGGGGGGGGTGCTGAGATGTTAAATTTTATGTTATGTGGTTTTTATCCCAATTTTTGGCAAGAAAATAGTGAGGCCCTTCTCTAGCAGCTGAAAGCCCCGTCCTCATGTCTGAGCTGCTGGACCTCTATGACACATCTGTCCCTGGGTGCATCTGAAAGACTCATTGGGTGGGAGGTAGAAATTCTTCTAACACAGTGCCTTGGGACTGATCATGGTTCGGTAATGACAGGTACGAGGGGAAGTGTGGCATCCACACCAAGCCACTCCAAATGTAGCTCAGGTCTCCTGCCAGACCAAGAGACACAGGAAACTGCTGCCAGCAATGGTCGGCAGAGAAGGCCAGCAGTCACTACTTCCCTTTGGGTCTTCACATCCAGAGGCATGGGGTGAACCCCCCAAAGGCACTTCCAAGCAGCTCCTGCCATCTTGAGCACCCAAAGCTGTCCACTTGCTGTGCAGCAGACCCATGGCAGGCAGTACTGACCAGTTCCAGCTCAGGGCTGCCCAGCCCAGGCATGGCCTCAGCATCCCTTGGGTTTGTTTGTTGTTATTGTTTGTTTGAAATAGGGTCTCACTCTGTCTCCCAGGACAGAGTGCAATGGTATGATCATAACTCACTACAGCCTCAACTTCCTGGACTCAAGCGATCCTCCCACCTCAGCCTCCCCCGTAGCATAGATTATAGGTGTTTGCCACCACGTCCATGGTAGCCCAGATAATTTTTGTAGAGATGGGGTCTTGCTTGGTTGCCCAGGCTGGCCTCAAGCTCCTGGGCTCAAGCGATCCTCCCTCCTTGACCTCTCACTGGGCTGGGATCACTGGCATGAGCCACAGCGCCCGGCAGGATCCTCTGCAGAGGCAGCCACTGCCTGTCAGAGCTGATGCTTGACTTCCAACCTATTTTCCTCAAAATATGCCCATGTCTGAAGTGAAGACGGGCAGGTAGTGATCTCACTTCCTCAGGCCGCCGCAGGTCTGCTGGACGTGAAATTCAGCCAGGGGCTGAACCTGAGATAGAGAACTTTTCTTTCTCAGAATCTTTTGCAGGCCCCTAACAACTTCGTAGGCAGTTCACCCCCAGACCCAGATTCCATATTTAGGTCCTGGTTCCGATCCCAGGATGCCTGCCAAGAACCCCTCCCACCAGCCTGTTAGGCCTCCTGAAGCTCCCATTTCCTATTAGAACAAAGTCGGACAAATGATTTGGACTTCTCTGCCTGTCACCACAGCAAACACAGACACCAGATCCACTCCCTGAGCCAGGCCTGCAGTCTCCGAGACAGGTCAGGGCCGCCCCAGGCAGGTGCAGGGAAGGCTGGGAAACACCAGGTTCCTCCAAGAGAAGCCCGGGGACACGGTGCCCTTCAGTGGGGCCGCCCTGGGGACTAGATGTGCTAGGGAGGGCGTGGGAGTCTGCAGGTTCTTGACTCTGCTACAGACATCTGCCAAGAGCAGGTCCTCAGGCTGCATCCTAGGAGCATGGCAGCTGCCACGACTCTGCCTCCAGGACTTCCGTGTGAGCCTCCCGAAAGTCCCCAGGGCTGGCTAAGCCTGCACCCCTCTTGCATTCCAGAGGGCCATGTCTTTCTCTCCCCACCATATTATTTAGAACGTAATTAAATGCCGACTTGAGGAAGCAGGATGTGCAATGATTGTGGCACAGATTCTGGAATCCAGTAACCTGGATTCAGATCCCAACTCTATGAATTCCCAGCTGCGGGGCCCTCGGCACTAGGAACCTAAGTGTCCTCATCATGAAATGGGGATGACAACCACATTCACTTCCTGGGAACGGCTTGAGAATAGAAGGTGAAGCCAGCGAAATGCCCAGCCAATGGCCAGCATGGGGGAGGTGCTCCGTGAGCCCCATCTTTTAGCTACTGTGAGTACCTATCTAAGACCTAGTGATTCTCAACCTTGTTCCCCATTAGAATCACCTGTCAAAAAAATCTAATTCCTGAGACTCGCTCCAGATCAGTCCAATCAACATCTCCAGGCATCTTTATTTTTCAAACTCCTTCCACGTACTTCTAGTGGGTGGCCGGTGAGCAGCGGTGCTCTAAGCTCCCAGAGGCAGGGCCCAGGCAATGGGCCAGCCAGGAACATGTATGCAGTGGATGCTGTCTGCAGCAGAGCTCCAGTGAGGGGCGGCAGTCTATCCCCTCCCTCGCCCAGCCTGGAAGAGCTCTCCTTACCTTGGAGGTGTCTCTCCACCACTGTGGGCTGCCCTGGCCTGGGCTGGCGGCCCTGGAGACCCTGGGCACTGGGGGCCGGGCCCTGGAGTCAGCCTCGTGCCTTCCTCTAAGGGCTCAGGGTCAGGCCTGCTGGACGATGCTCCTTGTCCTGCACCTGGTGCAACCTCCAGGCTCGAGGAGACCACACTGACCCTGCCGGGTGTTGGAGCCAATTCCAGGCCAGTCCTGAGGTTATCGCTGGATGTCTCAGGAGCCTTGGCTTCCACCTCTGTGGGCAGGTACAGGTGGCCAGGGAACGCCTGGCCTGGGCCAGGAATGCCATCTCCCTGGCCTGATGAGGCCCCTGCCTGGGCAGGGTCAGCTCCCAGCCCTGAAGCTCTGATGGGGGGCAGCCTCTCCACTGTCCCTTCCAGCACGTCCACCTTCTGGCTCTCTACAGGAAAACAGGCAGGACAAAAATGCACTCCCATGTGGAGGAGTCTGCCACAAAGATACTGCAAGGAATCTGCACAAGCCATTCAGTGCCCAGGTTTATAACAGCCAAAGACTGGAAACAACACAGATGAAGGGGGCTGGTTGACTAAACCGTGATGCATCCAACAAGGAGTGAGGCACAGCCATGAAAAAAAGAAAATTAATATTTCTATGGAAGCCTGGGCAACATAGTGAAAGCCTGTCTTTACTAAAAAAAAAAAAAAAAAAAAAATGAGTTTGGCATGGTGGCATGTGCCTGCAATCCCAGCTACTTGGGAGGCTGAGGCAGGAGGATCGATTGAGCACAGGAGATAGAGGCTGCAGTGAGCCATGTTCATGCCACTTGCACTCCAGCCTGGGCAACAGAGCGAGACTCTGTCTCAAAAAAAACAATCTCTAAGCACAGCTATGGAGTGATCTCAGAAAATACTGTAAGTGGAAGAAAGCAAGGTGGAGAATGGTGTGTCTGGTGTCCTGTTTCTCTAAGAAGGGAGCAGGTGTGACTGTGCATGTGTGCACGTGTGCACATAACCACCAATCATGTTGTTTAGGTAGACTGGTCCTCAAGAGAAAGAGAAGACAAAAGCTATTTAAATAGTTACATATGGGGGGAAGAAGCAGGGTGCAGGGGACAAAGGTAAAAGATAATCTTCTCTTTTTATTTGTTTATTTATTTATTTTTATTTCGAGACAGAGCCTCACTCTTGTCACCCCAGCTGGAGTGCACTGGCGTGATCTTGGCTCCCTGCAACCTCTGCCTCCCCGGTTCAAGCAATTCTCCTGCCTCAGCCTCCCAAGTACTTGGGTTTACAGGCATGTGCCACCATGCCTGGCTAATTTTTTTTTGAGATGGAGTGTCACTCTGTAGCCCAGGCTGGAGTGCAGTGGTGCAAGCTCGGCTCACTGCAACCTCCGCCTCTCGGGTCCTGGTTCAAGCAATTCTCCTACCTCAGCCTCCCAAGTAGCTGGGATTACAGGCACAAGCCACCGTGCCCAGCTAATTTTTGTATTTTTTAGTAGAGACGGGATTTCACCATATTGGCCAGTCTGGTTTTGAACTCCTGACCTCATGATCCACCCTCCTTGGCCTTCCAAAGTGCTGGGATTATGGGCATGAGCCACCGTGCCTGGCTGCTAATTTTTATATTTTTAGTAGAGACAGGGTTTCACCATGTTGGCCAGGCTGTTCTCAAACTCCTGACCTCAGGTGATCCACCCATCTCAGCCTCCCAAAATGCTGGGATTACAGGTGTGAGCCACTGCACCCTGCCTCTTTTATTTTTAAATAAAATAAATTTTTCATAGTGATGGAGTCTCACTATGTTGTTGCCCAGGCTGTTCTCAAACTCCTGAGCTCAAGTGATCCTCCTGCCTTGGCTTCCCAAACTGCTAAGATTACAGAAATGAACCACTGCACCTGGCCTCTAGACTTCTCTTAATATACATTGTTTTGTCTGTTTGACTTTGGAACCACATAAATATCATGCAAAATTATACAAGAAAATTAAACGTTAAAAAGTTAATCCATAAACATTTAAAGCATTTGAGTACCAAATTGGTGGCATAGCCTGCACAGACAGGTACTACAGTTGACCCTTGAGAGACACAAGTTTGAACTGCACTGGTTCACTTCGATGCAGATTTTCTTCCTCCTCTGCCGCCAAGACAGCAAGACCAACCCCTCACCTTCCTCGTCCTGCTCAGCCTACTTAATGTGAAAATGACAAGGATGAAGACCCACTTCCACTTAATGAACAGGGATATTTTATCTTCCTTGTGAACATCATAATAACACTTTCTTTTCTCTAGCTTACTCTCTTATATGAATATCATATTTAATACATAAAATAGTACAAGCACGTGTTAATCGCTTATTTCTGTTATCAGCAAGACTTCCAGTTGATAGTAAGCTATCAGTAGTTAAACTTTGGAAGAGTCAAAAATTATACTTGAATTTTCAACTGTTCAGGAAGTCAGTGCCCCTAACCCTGGAGTTGTTCAAGAGTCAACTGTATTCCAAGTGGTTTTGAAACATAGCAATTGATTATGCGTCTCTGGTGGGATATATATGACCAAAAAAACCCCGCCAAAAACCAAAAAAAAAGGAAGCTTCGACAGTTGCCCAGGAATCATTCTGTGGGCCACGTTGTCAGGCCCTTTATTCTGAAGCTGTTGTGTCTACAGTGTCGGATAAAGCAAATGAGGTCCCACTCACCTTCCCCAGGCCCCCTGGCATCAGCCTGCAACCCCCTGGTGCTCAGCACATGCTTTGGTTTTGCTCCCTCTTCTTCCACTGGTTCTTTGTTCTAAAATAACAACCACAAAAAAAGGTCATCATTATCATCAACACTGTCATTCAGGCCACAGACATTTGTTGAGCACCTCCCGCGTGCTTAACGTAAGGGCATTTAGGTTATTTCGCACAGTCTCACAGTAACATTGGAGAGTAGACACTGCAATTATCACTTTAGAGAGGACGCTGAGCCCTTCCCAAGGTCATAAAACTTAAAAGAGGAGGCGGCCAGCTTTATACCCAGAACCACCTTCTTTCCAGGGCTTCACCACATTCCCCAAAAGGGAAGAACCCAGCCCTGGATACAGGGTTCAAAATAGGTTTGACTCTAAAGGGCTTAGACTAGAGATGGAAAATAATCATTAAAAAAAATTTTTTTTTGAGACAAGGTCTTGCTCTGTCACTCAGGCTGCAGTCCAGTGGCATAATCTCGTTTCACTAAAACCTCTGTCTGCCAAGTTTTTTTTTTTTTTGGAGTGGGGGCAGAGTCTCTCTCCATTGACCAGGCTGGAGTGCAGTGGTTGGATTCCAGCTCACTGCAGCCTCGAGCTTCCAGAAGTAAGTGATCCTCCTACCTCAGCCTCAGGAGTAGCTGGGACTACAGGAATGTGCCGCCACCTCCAGCTAATTGCTGTTGTTGTTTTATAGAGACAAGGTACTCACCTTGTTACTCAGGTTTAAATTTTTCAATTTGTTCCCAACTTTTAAAATCCATGAGATTTTTACATTTAGGATCCCTTTTGGGGTGACATAATTGTTTCCTATTTTTACTGTGGTGATGGTGACAGGTGGAAATGTTTGTGGAGCTACATATTAGAAATGTGCATATGTGTGTATGTGAAGTTTATTATATGTAAATTGTACCATTATAATTATTATGTAATTATTACAGCTTAATAAAACTTGCTAGAAAAGAAATCTAAGTTCCCAGTTTTTCTTAAAAAATCTGAAGATGGGCCGGCGCAGTGGCTCACGCCTGTAATCCCAGCACTTAGGGAGGCCAAGGCAGGCGGATCACAAGGTCAAGAGATCAAGACCATCCTGGCCAACATGCTGAAACCCCGTCTCTACTAAAATACAAAATTAGCTGGGCATGGTGGTGCACGCCTGTAGTCCCAGCTACTCGGGAGGCTGAGGCAGGAGAATTGCTTGAACCCAGGAGGTAGAGGTTGCAGTGAGCCGAGACCATGCCACTGCACTCCAGCCTGGTGCCTGGTGACAGAGCGAGACTCGAAAAAAAAAAAAATCTGAAGATGGCTGGGTGCGGTGGCTCACACCTGTAATCCCAGCACTTTTGGAGACTGAGGCGAGTGGATCACCTGAGGTCAGGAGTTCAAGACCAGCCTGGCCAACATGGTAAAATGCTGTCTCTACAAAAATTAGCCGGGTGTGGTGGCAGGCACCTGTAATTCCAGCTACTCAGGAGGCTGAGGCAGGGACAACTGCTTAAACCTGGGAGGTGGAGGTTGTGGTGAGCCGAGGTCGCACCGCTGCACTCCAGCCTGGGGTACAAAGTGAGACTCTGTCTCAAAAAAACAAAACAAAACAAAAAATCTGAAGATCTTGCAACTCTAGGCCCTGATGGCAAAATCCGGCTAGGGCAGTTCCCTCTAAGTGGGGCACTACAGGCCTCACCTGTCCCAAATGTCTCCCCAACCCTAAGGTGCTGGTTGTACTGTTTGTCTACACCATTCCCACTCCTCTCAATTACTACGTACTCATTGCTTTGCGATTCTAGGATACCAAGCTTTGACCTCTGAATGATAAGGACACAGCGCATAGGGAACACACAGTCCAGCACCTGGCATGGGGGAGGCACTTCGTCAAAAATGCTTGCTGCCGCTGTCACAGTTATCACCAGCATCATCAATGTGGCCCAGATCCCCTGCTGGGCAGATGGCTTTCCATTATCCTTCTGCAGGCTTTGTCCTGCTGCCCCCGGAGCTGGGGGAACTGGAGGCATGAAACAGACCTCCTCTTCTTTCACCCACTGGCAGAAAGGGACTTGGATAGACTGTCCTTGGGCAGACCTTGTTGGGCTCAAACTGTCCTCTCCCTCCCCCAACTTTAGGGTAGGCAGGAGAATATGTGCCCATCCCCCAACTCTAGTTGGGTTCTGTCTTCAGGGCTTCACCTTCTAGTCCCTACCGAGTCTGTGCTTCCTCACACACCATTCTAGAGTACTGGTGCCTCTGAACACATATGCCTGGGGCTGTTTTCCAGGAGAGAGCACCTGGCTTCCAGGGATCATTGAATTCACTGCTGGAACCAGATGAAGTGCCGCTGGGCACTTCTGAAGATCTCAGGAGGACCTTCACAAAGTCCTGGCACAATTTTCAAATTTAACCACCAGTAGTAGGATTTAATTCCATTCCAAAGATGGTTGTCATGCCCCACTCTCCCAGGAAACACAGAATCCCCAAGAAGCCTCCATAATGCACGGTGTTCAGCACTGACCAGGTGTTTAGCAGCTGTGGCTATGTCTCAGTTCACTGTCCATTCTCTGAGCGCTTCCTGCAAAACCTGCCCTGGCCTCAGAACACAGAGGGAAGAAGAGTCTTCCTGTCATGGGCCAATCAGCAGCCTGATTAGGACACTGGACCAAACCTGAAGACATTCCTGACATGGATATTAAACTCAAGGACTAGGGAGATATCTAGCAAGTGCCAGTGGGGCAGGACAGACAGGAAACAGCACAAGAACTCAGAAAACAGAAAGTTCTATGACTTCCCTTACCCAGAAATGCCTTCACACGACATGTGTAACAGCTAGTTTCATTAATACATGAAGCGCTCTTACAAATCAATAAGAAAAAGGCAAAAAAAAAAATAGGAAAGATGGGAAAAGATGAGCAGGCAGTTCACAGAAAATACAAAAGATTTCAAACCTGTGTGTAAACGTTCAGTCTTCTAGTAAGAGAAATATAAATCGAAACTACGAGACATATTACTCTACCTTTGGTTATATTTGAAATTTTCCATAATGAAAACCTAAACTTTTTTCATAAATTCAAAAGGTTAGCTTTAACAGATATATAACTCATTGTCTTATTTGAGTCTGATGCAAGTAATCTGTAAAACTTTTTTTTTGAGATGGAGTCTCACTCTGTTGCCCAGGCTGGAGTGCAGTGGCATGATCTTGGCTCACTGCAACCTTTACCTCTCGGGTTCAAGCGATTCTTCTGCCTCAGCCTCTGAGGAGCTGGGATTACAGGCAAACGCCACTATGCCCAGCTAATTTTTGTTTTTTAGTAGAGATGGGGTTTCACCATGTTGGCCAAGCTAGTCTTGAACTCCTGACCTCATGATCTGCCCACCTCAGCCTTCCAAAGTGCTAGGATTACATGTGTGACCCAACTCACCTGGCTTTTTTTTTTTTTTTTTTAAATGCAGTTTGCGCCCGGGCGTGGTGGCTCACGGCTGTAATCCCAGCACTTTGGGAGGCCAAGGTGGGTGGATCATGAGGTCAGGAGTTCAAGACCAGCCCAGCCAAGATGGTAAAACCCCGTCTCTACTAAAAATAAAAAAATTAATCGGATGTGGTGGTGGGCACCTGTAATCCCAGCTACTAGGGAGGCTGAGGCAGAGAATTGCTTGAACCTGGGGGGCGGAGGTTGCAGTGAGCTGAGATCGCACCACTGCACTCCAGCCTGGGTGACAGAGCGAGACTGTCTCAAAAAAAAAAAAAAAAAAAAGATGCAGTTTGTGCTCTTGTTGCCCAGGCTAGAGTGTGGTGGCACAATCTTGGCTCACTGCAACCTCCAATCTCCCGGGTTCAAGCAATTCTCCTGCCTCAGCCTCCCGAGTAGCTGGCATTACAGGTATGTGCCACCATGACCAGCTAATTTTTGTATTTTTATTAGAGAAAGGGTTTCAGCATGTTAGCCAGGCTGGTCTCGAACTCCTGACCTCAGTTGATCCCCCTGCCTTGGCCTTCCAAAGTGCTGAGATTAAGGCCTAAGCCACTGTGCCCAGCCTAAAATATGTTTAAAGTATAAGGTAGATAATCAGGAAAATTTGAACACTGAACTTCAATAATATTAAAAGTTATCATTCGGCCCAGCGCAGTGGCTCATGCCTGTAATCCCAACACTTGGGGAGGCTGAAGCAGGAAAATTGCTTGAGCCCAGGAGTTCAAGACCAGCCTGGGCAACATGGTGAGACCCTGTCTCTATAAATAAATAAATAAGGTTATTCACTTTTTTAGATGTGATGATAGTATCAAGATTATGTTTTTTAAACAACCCCATCAAAAAGTGGGCAAAAGATATGAACAGACACTTTTCAAAAGAAGACATGTATGCAGCCAACAAACACATGAAAAAATGCTCATCATCACTGGTCACTAGAGAAATGCAAATCAAAACCACACTGAGATACCATCTCACACCAGTTAGAATGGCGATCGTTAAAAAATCTGGAGACAACAGACGCTGGGGAGGATGTGGAGAAATAGGAATGCTTTCACACTGTTGGTGGGAGCGTAAATTAGTTCAACCATTGTGGAAGACAGTGTGGCGATTCCTCAAGGATCTAGAAATAGAAATTCCATTTGACCCAGCAATCCCATTACTGGGTATATACCCAAATAATTATAAACCGTTCTATTATAAAGACACGTGCACACGTATGTTCATTGTGGCACTATTTACAATAGCAAAGACTTGGAACCAACCCAAATGCCCATCAACAATAGACTGGATAAAGAAAATGTGGCACATATACACCATGGAATACTATGCAATTATAAAAAAGGATGAGTTCATGTAATTTGCAGGGACATGGATGAACCTGGAAACCATCATTCTCAGCAAACTGACACAAGAACAGAAAACCAAACACCACATGTTCTCACTCATAAGTGAGTGTCGAACAATGAGAACACATGGACACAGGGAGGGGAACATCACACACTGGGATCTATTGGGAAGTAGGGGGTAGGGGAGGGATAGCAGGGGGCGGGGAGATTGGGGAGGGATAACATTAGGAGAAATACCTAAAGTAGCTGATGGGTGGATGGAGGCAGCAAAACACTATGGCATGTGTATACCTATGTAACAGTCCTGGAAGATCTGCACGTGTACCCCAGAACTTAAAGTAAAATAAAAATAAATAAATAAATATTATGTTTTTTAAAAGAGCCCTTATCTTTGAGATATAAATACTAAAACATTTATGAAAGAAATGATCCAGCATCTCAGATTTGCTTCAAATAATCTGAAGGGTGAAGTGGGTGGGGAAAAGAGAGAACAGACAGTGCACAATAATTTCCCATTTTCATTCACCAGACAGGCAAAGAATCAAAAGCATTCCCATACCTTGATGGTAGGAGACTGATTTGGAGTAACTTCTTTGAAGGCCAGTTTGCCTTTATCTGCATAAATTTACCATTTGGGTTGGTATTTCCACTGCCAGGAGTGTATCATGCAGATAAACTCACACTTGTGTTCAGTGACATACATCTATGGATAATCACTGAATCATTATTTATAGTTACTAAAAATGAGAAACAATAGAAACAAATGAGGATCTGGGGCTGGTTAAGAACTGAAGACACAGCCCCCAGAAGGGAATCTCAGAATATATTTATAACAATGTGAACATCAATCAGTGCCCAAAATATATATTAAGTAAAAAATTAGAAATCAAGGCCAGAAGAATGTGAATAACATAAGTTAAAACAAAACAATTTTGCCAGGAGTGGTGGCTTACACATATAATCCCAGCATTTTGGGAGACTGAAGCAGGCAGATCACTTGAGGTCAGGAGTTCAAGACCAGCCTGGCTAATACGGTGAAATCCCGTCTCTACTAAAAATACAAAAATTAGCCAGGTGTGGTGGTCTGTGCCTATAATCCCAGCTACTCAGGAGTCTGAGACCAGAGAATTGCTTAAACCTGGGAGGAGGAGGTTGCAGTCAGTCAAGACTGTGCCACCGCACTCCAGCCTGGGCCACCGCACTCCAGCCTTGGTGACAGAGCGAGACTCCATCTCAAAAACAAAATGAAAACAACTAAGCAATTCTGGTGCTACGGACTGTAGAAAAAAAACAAAAACAAAACCACAAGGGTGGTGTGGATACCAAGGTGCTTGTAGACACAGCCTCTATCTGGAAGAATTCAAAGGAAATCAGAATCCACCCTTGCCTTGGGTGGGGCAGGGCATTGGTGTCTGGGGTCTGGGGGGATGGAATAGGAAGGAGATATATGCTCTTTACATGATTTTTTTACAATGTACATTTAATTTTTTTACAGTTATTGGTTAGATCTATTTTATAACTTACAGTCGTGACTATATCTGCTGGGGAGGATTGGTTCCTGGGATCCATCCATACCAAAATCTATGGCTGCTCAAGTCTCTGATATAAAATGTCATGGTATTTGCATGTAACCTACATACATCCTCCCATATACTTTAAATCATCTCCAGTTTACTTATAAAGCCTAATACGATGTAGATGCTATCTGAATAGTTGTCACACTATTGTATAACAACTGTATTATTACTTAGAGAATAATGACGAGAAAGAAAAACCTGCACATGCTCAATAGGGACACACCATCATAGGCTTAACTACATTTTGATCTGAGGGCCAACTATAATTAGATTAATATCCTTTTTTTTTTTTTTTGAATAGACAGGGCCTCACTCTGTGGCCCAGGCTGGAGTGCACTGGCACAAACATAGCTCACTGTAGCCTCCATTTCCAGGACTCAAGCAGTTCTCCCACGTCAGCCTCCCAAGTAGCTGGGACTACAGGTATGTGCCACAATGCCTGGCTAATTTTTTAATTTATTATTTGTAGAGACAGGGTTTTACTATGTTGCCCAGGCTGTTCTCAAACTCCTGGCCTCAAGCAGTCCTCCACATCGGCCTCCTAAAGCACTAGGATTATAGGTATGAGCCACTGCATCCAGCCTAATTTTCTTTTTCAAAGCCGGGCTTGGTTAGGGTCACACTGCCCTGCAGGCCAAGCCCTCACGAGATGCACCCTGCAGACAGCAGACAGCGGGGGCTGGGGAGAGGGGTAACTCTGGGAGAAGCTGCAGGGTGGGGAGGGGAAGGGGCAGCAGGGGAGCTCTGGCCTTGTGGGAGGGGTAGCATGCTCCTGTCCTTGGCAGCTGACACAGAGTCAAGCACAGACCCCTTTAGTCCCCAGCTCGTCTCTTGCCAGAGGCTGGTGAGTCACTGCAGGGGTCTGAAATGGTGGCTCCAGTCTGTCTGAGTGTTGCTAAGTGACTGACCCCTAGCTGCCCCCAAACAGGGTGTTCCCTCTACAGGCCTCACCCCCATATCCTTCTCCCAGCAGCCAAGCTTCCATTAGCCCACAGGATTGATTATGCAACTCGGGAACAGCCGCTCCCAGGAATGCCACCCTCCACCTCCAGGCTCCGGCTCCTGCCTGCTGTCCCCCGGGTCAGTGTCAACACTTGTTTCCCCACAGGCAGCTGCACTCTCCACCCACTCTGGGGCTAAGCCCAAGGTTGGGGACAGGAGGTGGCGGGTGGGTTTCTGAGCAGGGTTCCATCAGGACAGACTGGCCACTCCTGCCTGCCCCACCCCACATGTGAAGGAGCAGAAGGGCGGTCACAGGGGTATCAGAGAAGCGTGCTGGTTCCCTCTTCCAAACTGCCAGCATGTCCCCCATGGCTGGGTTCCCTGGAGCTACCAAGGCCCCACAGTCCTGGTCAGGGCCCCGCTTCTTCCCTTCCCTGGGGAGAATGGCAGGCAGTGTCCTGCCTGGAAATCCACCTATGACCCGTAAGGTTCTGGCTCTCCTTTTCCCCATCAACAGGTCACACAGGAAGGGGACACCATGCCTCCAGCTCTCCGAACACTGGCTGCCTGGCCAGTCTCCCACCAGGGCCGGGGCCTCCCGTCCAGCCAGCACAGGGAAGCAAGAACCAACCTCCTCAGGGCTGTCACCTGGGCTGCTTCTCCTCCAGGGGACACGCCCCTGCATAAGGAAATCCGCCACCTTCGATTTCTGGAACGTGGCCCCCACCAAAGCGATGGCCCTGTCCACCGCAGCCACCATCCTGAAGAGGGCCTCCAGCCTGGCGCCATGCTGGGCCGCGTCCTGCTGCATGGCCCTCACCAACTCCAGGACCTCGGGCCACCCAGCATGGGTGTTAGCAGGGGGAGCCCCGTCAGCCCCGGCCAGGCCCAGCGCCTGGGAGGCCTCCAGCCTGTGCAGGCCCTGCTCCAGGCGGCCCATGTCTCGGCACATGCACTGCAGCTGCTCTGTGACATCTTCTTGGAAATGCAGGAGCTGGTCCACCTTCTCATTCAGCAGGTTCAGTTTTTTGTCCATGGTGGTTAAGCAGGCCTTACCCAGCCCTGGCAGCCCTCGGGGCCCCAGACTCTCCTTAGAGGCCTCTGACATCCTGGTGCAGGCTTGACCAGGGTAAAAGCGGAGGATAAGGAGTCACAGACCCCTGGTTCTCACTCAGGTGGTGGTGTCTGCAAGGTCATTATTCTCGGTAGCTGACAGCCTCCCGGCAGCACCAGCCCCCGCGATGGCCCGGGCGTGTGGGGAGCGCAGAGGCCCCGGGTTCTCCCTATGCCTTCACTTTGCTTATCTCCCACCCTCCTCTGGCCATGAGTGACAGGCCGAGGTCGGCCCAGGCCCTTCTCCTTGGGGCCTGTTTGACATCACGGCAGCATTTGACATTCCTCTCTGAGAGGCTGCTGATGGGCAAATATGTTAAGAATCTGCCCTGAGCAGGCGGGGTTCGTGCAAGAAACGGTTCCGAGGAAAGGAAAGGGTCCTTTGGAGAACGGCACCTGCCTGTTAGGCTCCAGGAGGGATCCCTGGCAGAGAAAGGCCCTTAGAGGCCCAGAGACCTGAGGCCACACATGTCAGTCACAATAAAAAGCAAGACCGAGACAGGAAGGAATGTGAGACCACTCAGCAAAGTTGCGACTTTTGCCATGATGAAAATGTTGATGCTTCTGCAAATTTAAAATAAATTTCAGGTGCCCCTACTATGCCAGCGTTCAGAACATGTGTTCAGACTATCTGTGGGGTGGCCGGCTGGTCCCTCCCCACCAGGCCCCTCAGTCACTAGTCACTTGTACCTAAAAATAGAATCGAGGACAATGGCCCCGGCTACCTGCCAAGCACTGTCCCGAGGGCCGTGTTTCTCACCGAGCCCTCAGGGAGACACCAGAGACACCTGCTCCCCTCCCCCCCATAACAACTATGTAGGTATCAGACTCGCAATTTCCACACTGAAACAGACTCAGCAGGGACACAGAATGCAACAGGTCTGTGCTTCCTGGGGTTTAAAAATGTTTTCGTCTCAGAAGCCCTTGGTTCAAATAAAACATTTTATGATAGCATCAGTCAATAAAGTAGACACAAGCAGAGATGCTCAGGTTACCCCCTGAGGTAGGGCACAGGGAACCCGTCAAAGTCCTAAGGATGCCACGGAGCAGTCTGATCTACACTTCTGACCTACATTTCCATCCAGCTCCCTGCAGGCAGAGGGCAAGGTCCAGAGAGGGGGATTTGCCTAAGGTGGCCCAGACAGGCACACGGCCCCCTGAAGATGGTCCAGCCATGGTAGGGCTGTCCCCAAGGGAGGGGCCTTTAGTGTCTTATCAAGCTTCCCCTTTCTGAATAAAAGCAATTACAATAAAGTTTGACCTGGAAATTTGGAATCTAAAAGCATTGTTAGAGCCAGGTGTGGTAATCCTAACACTTTGACAGGTGGATTTCTTGTGCCCAGGTGTTTGAGACCAGCCTGGGCAACAAGGCAAGACCTGGTCTCTACAAAAAATTAGCCAGGCGAGGTAGCACACACCTGTGGTCCCAGCTACTCAGGAGGCTGAGGCAGGCTGCAGTGAGCTGTGATCCCGCCACTGCATGCCAGCCTGGGCAACAGAATGAGACCCTGTCTTTAAAATAAATAAATACACGAAAGTACCATTAGAGGTTTGCTGTGTTAAACCATTAACCTATCAATGCAACAAGCTTACTATGCAAATGCAGCTTGACCACAGTCTTCTCTACCTACCCCTCTGTCCCGATTGCTGCCCCTGGGCAGCCCACAGAGAAATCCAAACCCATTCCTGGGAGCACAGCCCTGAGTCCCTGAGTGGTGTTGGTGGAATGGCCCAGAACATGCTAGAAAGAGTAGGGTCTGTTATATTTACCGCCACTCAAAACAAACACACAAAGTCTACCTGGAAAAGGAAATTTGAGGGGTAATCCCGTGCTCCCGCCCCTCTAGGGGATACACCACGCGCCTCAGGAGGACCTCATCTGCCTCAGAAGACTCCCCCATCCGACCAGGACAGGTTCTCCTGACACCTCACACCTAGGACTTCCCTGTGGATGTGGGCTCCCTGGGCCAACCTTTGGGAAATGGCTGCCTAGAGAATTCTCTAGAAGTCTAACACGCCCAGCCCAACCCTGTGTCTCTCTCCAGTTGGTGCCAATAATTTTTATGGAATAAAGTTCCCAATAGACAAGAGAAGCAGACCCTGGTCTCTGGAGGACAGACTTTATTATTGCCGCCACTGTGGAGATCTCTGGAGAACCATCCAGGCAAGTCCTGGGTAACCAGAAAGGACTGGGGGCAGTGGCTTATTCCTGTAATCCCAGCACTTTGGGAGGCCAAGGTAGGTGGATCAAAGGTCAAGAGATCGAAACCATTCTGGCCAACATGGTGAAAACCCATCTCTACTAAAAATACAAAAATTAGCTGGGCGTGGTGGTGCACACCTGTAGTCCCAGCTACTTGGGAGGCTGAGACAGGAGAATCGCTTGAACCCAGGAATCCAAGGTTGCAGTGAGCTGAGATCATGGCCACTGCACTCCAGCCTGGCAATATAGTGAGACCCCATCTCAAAAATAATAAATAAATAAATAAATAAATATATATATAAAGCAAGCCGGAAACATAACTTCAAAGTCTACATGAATCTAGAGAAAACTACCAAATGCCCCAGACATGTATCTATATCAAAAGTGAATTATCTGAGGCTGGGTGTGGTAGCTTATGCCTGTAATCCCAGCACTTTGGGAGGCTGAGGAAGGTGGATCACTTGAGGTCAGCAGTTTGAGATCAGCCTGGCCAACATGGTGAAGCCCCATCTCTACTAAAAATACAAAAATTAGCAGGATGTGGAGGCGCACACCCGTAATCCCAGCTACTCGGGAAGCTGGGGCAGGAGAATCGAGATGATGTCACCGTACTCCAGCCTGGGTGACAGAGCGAGACTCTGTCTCAAAAAAAATAAATAAATTATCCAAATTACAAAGGATTTGTCAAGTCTCCATTAAGTAACAAGTTTACAAGGTAGCGCATTTGCTAAGAAGGTGGCTGTGGCTGGAAACTCCCTGAGGGCAGACCACCCTCTTGGGCTTTGCCTGCATCACCGGAGACAACAGCTGCCTGGCACGTGGCCAGGTGTTCAAAATCGAGGAATGAGTCAAGGAGGCAGCCACAGCGTGCTGATCGGACCATCCCAAGACTTCTGTGGAAGGAGGAGGCAGGAGCTTCCGCAAACCACTGAAGTGAGCACAGGGGGGAAACCCCGACAATCCCGGAAGGGAGCTCTTGGGCCTTCTGGGAGAAAGTCCAGAACACAGGTTCCTAGGGCCTCTTTGGTGGAAAGGAGTAGCCAGAAGGACCAGCTTTAACCCCTTTCCTTCTCAGCTTTAGGAGAAATGAGTTTGGAGCACATGGATTTCCTGCGGAGATGCGTGGCTTCTCTCCAACTCTCCCTGATGCACAGGACACAGCAGGGGGCTTGGCCAGTTTTTGGGTGATGGTGCTTGCCCAGAGGATGGGGAAGCATTGACCCCCCCAAGCCAAGAGAACCAAGACCAGAGAAGACGCAGCTAAACTGGATCGACAGAGCAGTAAATACCATAACCCCTTGTCTTTCCTGGGTAAGGACAGGGCTGTGGATCCTCTGCCAGAAAAAGACAGGCTGACCTCTATTCACCCTAGGGTGGGGCCAGCATGCACTAAACCCTGAGACTCTTCCCTGGACTTCTGGTGACCTAACAGTCTCAGAGATGGTGGGGTGAGAGAGACTTCAACAGCCTCATTTTATTTTATTTTTTTCTTTTTCTGAGCTAGGGTCTTGGTCTGTTGCCCAGGCTGGAGTGCAGTGGGACAGCCACAGCTCACTGCAACCGGGAACTCCTAGGCTCAAGCAATCCTCCTGCCTCAGCCTCCTGCATAACTGGGATTACAGGTGCATGCCCCCACACCCAGTTAATTTTTAATTTAAAAACAATTTCATCACCCAGGGCCGGGCACGGTGGCTCACGCCTGTAATCTCAGCACTTTGGGAGGCCGAGGTGAGCAGATCACAAGGTCAAGAGATCGAGACTGTCCTGGCCAACATGGTGAAACCCTGTCTCTACTAAAAATACAAAAAAATTAGCTGGGTGTGGTGGCACGAGCCTGTGGTCCCAGCTACTCGGGAAGCTGAGGTGGAAGAATCGCTTGAACCTAGGAGGCGGAGGTTGCAGTGAGCCAAGATTTCATCACTGCACTCCAGCCTGGTGACAGAGCAAGAATCCATCTCAAAAAAAAAAAAAAAAAAAAAATTTCATCACCCAGGTATTAAGCCTAGTACCCATTAATCTGTACAACAAGCCCTCATGACACAAGTTTACTTATGTAACAAACTTGCACGTGTACCTCTGAAATTAAAATAAAAGTTAAAAAAAACTCTTGTAGAGATGGGGTCTTTCAATATCTTTCCAGGTTTTACTAACCCAGGACAGTGGTGGCTTACACCTGTAATCCCAGCACTTTGGGAGGCTGAGGCAAGAGGATCGCTTGAGCCCACGAGTTCAAGACCAGCCTGGGCAACATAGCAAACCCCCGTCTCTACAAAAGAACATATATGTATATATTAGCCAGGCATGGTGGCATGTGCCTGTCGTCCCAGTTATTGGGAGGCTGAGGCAGAAGGATCTCTTAAGCTTGGGAGGTTGAGGCAGCAGTGAGCATGACAGTGCCACTGCACTCCAACCTGGACAACAGAAGGAGACCTTGCCTCAAAAAATAAAATAAAATGATACTAAGGCTCTGACTCAAGTTGAAAGACTGACTTCTCATATTTCTCTCCTTCCCCTCCAGAGACTTCATGGTAAAGGAAGAAAATAAATACACACCCTCAATGATGAACAGAATGGAAGGTGGGCCATTGGTGAATGAGTGTTATCAATGAATTTCTGGAAGATGGATAGCAGGTGGAGGAGCGGTAACTGGAGAAATAAGAAAGAGAAAACTGCAGCTTCACTGGCCGCAACGGTGAATACAGATAAGCACAGAGCCACCTTTCCCTGTAGGACACCAGAGAGCCTTCAGACCCCAAGACCTTCGGTGGGGTAAACAGGGAGCAGAAATGCAAGACTGAAGAGCCTGTCCCTACAGCGGCCCCCTTCCTGTCCCACACCTCGGCACAGAAGGGCCTGGCCAGGCCCACCCTCCCTGGAGATCAGAGCCTGTTTCTGGAGAAATGCGATGGTCCACAGCACAATAGTTCTATGTGCTGGCTTTTGGGGTTCCTTAGGAGTGTCCCACTCGATCATCCTCAACAAAGCCACGCAGCTAACAAGCTTCAACCACCTACCCAGCCGTAAGTACCTTCTTCAGAAATATGCCCAGACAAAAAGGATCACTGGGTGTTCAAAGAAAGCCTTCAAGATGAAAACGGGAGACTAAAGCAAATAAACAGAAACATGATCAAAGAAGAAACAGAGAAAATGAAAAACAGTGTCAAAAAGGCTGTCATTTGGCAGGGTGAGGTGGCTCACACCTGTAATCCCAGCACTTTAGGAGGCCAAGGCAGGAGGCTTGATTGAGCCCAAGAATTGAGGCCAGCCTGGGAAATATAGGGAGATCCTGTCTCTACAAAAAAAAAATTTTTTTAATTAGCTGGGCATGGTGGCGTGTGCCTGAAGTCCCAGCTGTTTGGGAAGCTGAGACAGTAAGGTTGTTTAAGCCTGGGAGACAGAGGCTACAGCGAGCTATGTTTGTGCCACTGCACTCCAACCAGGGCAACAGGGCGAGACCCTATCTCAAAAAACAAACAAACAAGGCTGTCATTTGAAGCCACAGAAAAGTGTCTAAAGCTATTCCATTCTTTAACAAAGGAGAGGATGCTGGCCAGGTGTGGTGGCTCACACCTGTATCCCAGCACTTTAGGAGGCCGAGGTGGGTGGATTGCCTGAGGTCGGGAGTTCAAGACCAGCTTGGACAACATGGAGAAACCCTATCTCTACTAAAAGTACAAAAATTAGCCAGGCATGGTAGCACATGCCTGTAATCCCAACAACTCGGAGGCTGAGGCAGGAGAATAGCTTGGACCTGGGAGGCAGAGGCTGCAGTGAGCCGAGATCTCACCATTACACTCCAGCCTGGGCAACAAGAACAAAACTCTATCTAAAATATATATATATGTGTGTGTGTGTGTGTGTGTGTGTGTGTGTGTGTGTGTGTGAATAATAAAATTTAAAAATTCAATATAGGGATTAGAAAATGAAGCTAAGATAACGTCTCAGAAAATAAAACTGAAAGATGAAGCCATGTGCAGGAGAGAAAGCTGTTCGATGACTCCAGTTGGCCTCAC